GCGCCCCCGGGCCCTCTCCCGCTCCCCGCGCGTCCCCCGCTCTCCCGAGGGCCCCGCGTCCGCCCCCGCCTCTGAACCGCTCCTCCCCGCGACGGGGCTCCCTCCGCGCCCCTCATTTCTGTGCGACCCCGCGCTCCGACACTCACGAGAAGAAAGGGTCGTCCTCAAAGCTGCTGCTTAGCATCCTGAACATTCTGGCTCTGCGCCGGGCAGCGGCGGACGCGGACAGCTCGGGAAACGATGTAACTCGCCGCGGCCGCCACCGAGCCGGCCTCCCCGCACCTTCGACGCCGCTTCCCTCTGCCGCGGAGGCGCTGCCCGCCGGGAGAGGCGGTACGTGACGCCCAGCGGCCTTGTCATTGGGCGCCGGTCCCTCGACGTCACCAATGGAGGCGGGGAACAGTGCGCCGCTGTCCTGGCAACCGTGGTCAACAACTGCAAGTGAGAAGTTTGGTCGCTGGCCCGCCGCGCAACCTTTCACCCAGCCAGCTGAGGGACGGGGTAGTTTGCTCTCCGGGCTGCGGACCAAAGCACGAGACCACCCTCTCTGTGACCTTGGACAAATCGCCCGTATCCTTGATTCCCAAGACTTCTCGGGAAAATGGAGGGATGTCAATATTTGGACTAGATGACAACCACTTTCATCGACCATATTCTGTAACCCACAGGAATGAGTTCTGTATCTGCAACTTCACCCGTAGCTGGTCAAATAATGAGAAAAATGAGCAAAAGTTTACAAAATGAGTGCAGTTTACAAATAGTGTACACAGTTCTTCAAGAAAACGAAATGAAGCCTATTAGATTGCAGCGAACATATTTGCCTTTGGCGAGGGTGAAAACCCCAGGCAGTGCTTTCCCAAGAGGGAAACGCTTCAGCAACGTGCGGACGTGGGATCAAAAGATAAATAAGAAAATTACCCTCTCATCTGGTCCTCTTCCCATGTCTGCTTCAAACATCCCGCCTCACTTGGAGGCCGATGAATCTCTGGCACCTCCTTAACCTAACGGCCGGACCCAGGCACAAGGCCTGAAGCGAGCTGCCGCACCCAACTAAAACTCGATCAGTATCTATTTTGTTTTTATTATGTTTATAGGGGACCCTACTTATGGAAAGGAAATGGGGTTTAAATTTAAAGCAGCGCTGTACATTAAGAGCTAGACGGTTACAATGTCAACAAAAACGTGAGCTAATTTAAAGAAATGTGCACGTGGGATTTGCACGCACTGGTGGTGATGGGGCGGGGAAATACTTTGACAGTGGTATTCAGATTACTGAATTTTGTAAAGCACTGATATGGTGCCTTCCAGGAGCCTAGAGACAGGCAGCGAAGACGACAGAAGAAACAGGAGATTAGAGTGGAAGAAAGAAAATGCACCTCGCACGGCCTCTCTTACTTCAGGGGGCTCGCTGCTCTCTGGGGCCCTCTTGAGATGAAGGGCGACCCATGGCTCTTCAGGTTGTGAGGGCACTGTGGGTTCAGGCCAGAGAAGTGGCCCTCTGCCAATGTGAAGGGCCTGATTTGGAGGTGGTTGGAGTACTCAGGAGTTATTTTGGGAGCTGGAAATTTAATCTTTTGAACCTTTTACCCCGCACCTTTAGCCAAGTTCTCAGCAACCTCCTTTCCTTGAAACCGGTGGCATGAAACTGCACAGACGCACAGCCTGAGATAAGATGGTACAGGGGATATTTTCATGTTAGAAAAATTCTATGATAATTTCAAGACAAAAATTGCTTTGCAAGACCTAAAATTATTTTGTTTAAGACGTACAAGAAAGTAAGGGGCCAGGAATGTAGCTCAGCGGCATAGTGCCTGCCTGACAATTACGAGGTCCTGAGTTCGATTGCTGGTACCAAAAATAAAAATAAAAATAAAAATACAGAAGTCAGTTTGTCCAAATTTAGCTGGGTGTGGTGGCGCACGCCTGTAATCCCAGCACTCAGGAGGCTGAGGCAGGAGGATTGTTGCAAGTTTGAGACCAAGTTTGAAGGCCAGCTTGAACTGAATAGCGAGACCCTGTCTCCAAAAAAAAAAAAAAAAAAAAGGGAAAGTAAGGTGGCCACACACTGAAAGCACATCAAAATGAAATAGGGTAAGAGATGCTAAATGGTTCTGGTTTAAGGTCAAGTAGAGAAACTTGTGAGATTTTTCCTCCCTTTTGGTGAATGGAAACTTTTCTTAGAATCACATTGTTAAACCATGAAGTCCAGGCACAAGTTAGGGAGTTGTGGAATTTTTGAAAGCAGTTTGGACCTAATGGCAAATGCTAAAAAAAAAAAAATGGAGATGAAGAGGTCTTGATATCAGTTTTAAATTTGTTGGGTAAAGGAGAGGAAACGAAAGAAAGGATGTCTGGAGAAGATGAACCCAGCAAGGGAAGGAGAGAGGCAGGGCAGGATAGGACAGGGGACAGCGTCCTTGGCTGAAATAATTTCAGCTAATATTTAGTGAATGCGTGCTGGGCGCAGCTGCAGCCACATTGTGTACATTACCTCACTGAGTCCTCACAATGGTTTTCTGGGGCGGAGATGTTTTTCATCCCCGTGTAGATGCTGCCATGGAGACACACAGAAGCTAAGTAGATTTTTAAGGTTCATTTAGTAGTAATGAAAGATGCAAGATGAAAGCCTGAATTCATGTCTCAAGTCGTGCTAACAAAACTAAATGGACCCTAAGTAAAAAGTATAAAATTCAGTGGAATGTAGTCAAATAAAGTCAGTTTGATTTTACAAATACTTATTAAATGGCTATGCTGTACTGGGCATGGATCTACACCCTGAGATAATGGTGAACAAAGCAGTCAAGAATCTTGCCGCCCCTCCAGGTGTGCAGTTATAACCAGGAAATGCAGTTTAGACCTTACTGAGGTGAGTTTAAGCAACCTTATAAGGAAGCGAGTGTCTGTCAGGACATTCTGGCCCATTGCAGCGGGCTGAGGAGGCATGCGCCTGGTGTACGTCATCTACACTTACATTCGTATGCCTTGAAACTCACCTTCAGAGAGAGGAATAAGATGAGCCCAGTAAAGATTACCCAGCTGTCTTCACAGCCTTCTGTCAGGTTTGATTTATATCCTTTGGTAAGATGGGAAATGGTGTACAGCAATTAAGTAACTTACCCACAAACGCTTAAGTCCTAAGGTCCTCAAACTCTGTCAGGGCTGACTCTATTCCACACGGCACCCGTGCTCAAATTAAAAAAAGATGCCTCTCTCAAATACTTCCTTTAATGGGAAATTAACAAACATACAAGGCTACATTGTGTACAACTAGAGGGTGCTCTCTTGGGATTTGTGTACTTGTCCAGGTTAGCCTCACTCTCAAACCGAAATTCTGTCTACTACACAGGTGCCAAACTCCATCCACAAATTTATATCCAAGAAACTTAACTTTTTTCCCTTGCAGCTGAATGTCATTTACGTTGTGGGCTCCTGCTCCATTGGGAATGACCTCCCTTCCTTTCCTCCCTTCTTTGCGTGACCTCCCTGTTCCTGGTTGCCGTCCATACTGCCTTCCTGACGACGTCTTTATTCCCCTCACTGAACAGAGCCAGTGACCATCCTCTGTGGCATAGTCTGGCACAAAAAAGGGTGGTGGCCTTGTTTTTTAAGAGAAGGTATGGCTGTGGAGACCCATCTGGCCTTGAATTTACTATGTAACCTAGCCTGGCCTCAAACTTGCAGTCTTCCTGCTTCAGCCTCCTAAGTGCTTGGACACAGAGGAAATATTCAAATGTTAATTTTTCTCCTTTTTGTTGCTTCCCATTGGTGGTAAGGGCCATGAGAGAACAACACTGTGACTAACCAGCAAACTTCTTCCGTCAGATTTACTTTTATAGCTTGTTGTCTTTGGACATGTATACTCATGGCTGGAAGTTTATTTTGCATAAATTATGATCTAGTCCTATTTCTTTTGAAAAAATTAAGTAAATGTTATTTCTAGGTGATCTGGCTTGTTAGAAAAATGTTTCAGGAAGGCTCTTAAGGCAGAAAGTCAGGAGACAGGCCTTGCAGTAGGTCCCAGCAGTCACGTAACAGACAGTTCAGAGGGGAGGAGCAGAGGAATGATGTGCTCCAGCGATGGGCTGACTGAGACGGGGAGGAGGCTAGGAAAGCAGCAGGGAGCCCTGCACCTGCTGGAGGGTCAGGGAGGGACCTAAGACTATAACCTGAGCCTTCCCCACATCCCCTTAATGTAATACTTGGAGGATGGTCATCACCTTTTAAAAATAACTAGGTAAGTTTCACTGCCATTCTCTACTATGGAGTTCTCACTTAAAAAGTATCTACCAAGACTTTTTATGAGCTATATCCCAACTAATTATTTCAACAGCCCTGGAAGACGGTGTCATCTCCATTTTACAGATGAGAACAGAGATACAGGAAGGTGAAATAATTTCCAGCCAGCATGGTTCAAATAGAAGAAGTCTCGAAGCTGGTGATTGGTAATGTAGGGATTCTGATCTAATCTGACCATTTTGAAGGTCATTTAACCTGGCTACACCCATTCATAGCTGTTGTTAACAAAAAAAGGATTCCATAGTGTGGAATTACATAAATGTGAAGCTGTTGGAACTTCCAAACTTTGACACATGTTGTTTTCCTTAAGTGCATAAAAAAGTTTTATAACTTCCCTAACAAGCCAACAATGTCACTCAATGAATAAAACAAAAGCTATTACTCAAAGTATAAGAATTTGGGTGGCGGGGGCTGGGGATTTAGCTCAGTGGCAAAAGCGCCTGCCTGGCAAGCGCAAGGTCATGATTTCGGTTCCCGGTACCGGAGAAAAACAAACAAACAAAAAAACAAACAAAGAATTTGGGTGGCAGTGTAAAATACAAACATGTTACACTAATTTATGTTTTAGTGACATTATTCAAATTTTCCAGAGCACATAATGGAGTTAATGAATGAAAGCCCACATCTAAAGCCTGTTTTTTTGTTTTTTGCATGACAGGGTCTCACTTTGTAATTCATGCTGGCCTTGAATTCACTGTAGCCCAGGCTGGCCTTGGACTTACAGCAATCCTCCTGCCTCGTTCTTCTTTTTGAGGCAGGGTCTTGCTATGTAACT